ATGATTGCTCTGTCCAAATATCTCTCTTTACCCTGGTCTGTTCAAATTTCTCTCTCTCTATCTTGGTCTGTTCAAATCTCCCCCCCTCTCTCTCTCTCTCTCTCTCTCTCTAGCTCAGGTCTGTTCAAATCTTTCTCTCTATCCCGGTCGGTTCAAATCTCTCTCTCTCTCAAATCCTTGTCTGTTCAAATGTCTCTCTCTATCCTGGTCTGTTCAAACCTCTCTCTCTCTACAATCCATGTCTGTTCAAATCTCTCTCTATCCTGGTCTGTTCAAATGTCTCCTCTCTCTCGGTGTGTTCAAATCCCCTCTCTATCTCTCTCTATCCATGTCTGTTCAATTCTCTCTCTATCCTGGTCTGTTCAACTTCTCTCTCTCTCTCCTGTCTCTCTCTCTCTCCTGGTCTGTTCAAATCTCTCTCTCTATCTTGGTCTGTTCAAATCTCTCTCTATCTTGGTCGGTTCAAATCTCTCTCTCTATCCTGGTCTCTTCAAATATATCTCTCTCTCTATCCTGGTCTGTTCAAATCTCTCTCTCTCTCTCTATCCTGGTCTGTTCAAATCTCTCTCTCTCTCTCTCTCTCTCTCTCTCTCTCTCTCTATCTTGGTCTCTTCAAAATATATCTCTCTTTCTCTCTATCCTGGTCTGTTCAAATCTCTCTCTCTCTATCTTGGTCGGTTCAAATCTCTCTCTCTATCCTGGTCTGTTCAAATTTATCTCTCTTTCTATCGTGGTCTCTCAAAATCTCTCCTATCCTGGTCTGTTCAGAATCCTGGTCTGTTCTCTCTCTCTCTCTCTCTATCCTGGTCTGTTCAAATCTCTCTCTCTCTATCCTGGTGTGTTCAAATTTCTCTCTCTCTCTATCCTGGTCTGTTCAAATCTCTCTCTCTCTCTATCTCTCTCTCTCTCTCTCCTTGGTCTGTTCAAATCTCTCTCTCTCTCCTGGTGTGTTCGTCTCTCTCTCTCTCTCTCTCTCTATCCTGGTCTGTTCAAATCTCTCTTTCTATCTCTCTCTCTATCCTCCTGGTCTGTTCAAATCTCTCTCTATATCCTGGGTGTGTTCAAATTTCTCTCTCTCTCTCTATCCTGGTCTGTTCAAATCTCTCTCTCTCTCTCTCTCTCTCTACTCTGTTCAAATCTATCTCACTCTCCTGTGTTCTCTCTCTCTATCCTGGTCTGTTCTCTCTCTCTCTCTGGTCTGTTCAAATCTCTCTCTCTATCCTGGTGTGTTCAAATCTCTCTCTCTCTCTCTATCCTGGTCTGTTCAAATCTCTCTCTCTCTCTATCTCTCTCTCTCTCTCCTGGTCTGTTCAAATCTCTCTCTCTATCCTGGTGTGTTCAAATCTCTCTCTCTCTCTCTCTCTATCCTGGTCTGTTCAAATCTCTCTCTTTCTATCTCTCTCTCGCTCTCTCCTGGTCTGTTCAAATGTCTCTCTCTCTATCCTGGTCTGTTCAAATCTCTCTCTCTCTCTCTCTATCCTGGTCTGTTCAAATCTCTTTTTCTCTCTCTCTCTCTCTCCTGGTCTGTTCAAATGTCTCTCTCTATCCTGGTCTGTTCAAATGTCTCTCTCATCCTGGTCTGTTCAAATCTCTCTCTCTCTCTCTCTATCCTGGTCTGTTCAAATCTCTCTCTCTATCTCTCTCTCTCTCTCTATCCTGGTCTGTTCAAATCTCTCTCTCTATCCTGGTCTGTTCAAATCTCTCTCTCTCTCTCTCTATCCTGGTCTGTTCAAATCTCTCTCTTTCTATCTCTCTCTCGCTCTCTCCTGGTCTGTTCAAATCTCTCTCTCTATCCTGGTGTGTTCAAATCTCTCTCTCTCTCTCTATCCTGGTCTGTTCAAATCTCTCTCTTTCTATCTCTCTCTCGCTCTCTCCTGGTCTGTTCAAATGTCTCTCTCTATCCTGGTCTGTTCAAATCTCTCTATCTCTCTCTATCCTGGTCTGTTCAATTCTCTCTCTCTATCCTGGTCTGTTCAGTTCTCTCTCTTCTCTCTCTCTCTCTCTCTCTATCCTGGTCTGTTCAAATCTCTCTCTCTATCCTGGTCTGTTCAAATCTCTCTCTCTCTATCTTGGTCTGTTCAAATCTCTCTCTCTCTATCTTGGTCGGTTCAAATCTCTCTCTCTATCCTGGTCTCTTCAAATATATATCTCTCTCTTTCTCTCTATCCTGGTCTGTTCAAATCTCTCTCTCTCTCTCTCTCTCTCTATCGTGTTCTGTTCAAATCTCTCTCTCTCTCTCTCTATCCTGGTCTGTTCAAATCTCTCTCTCTATCCTGGTCTGTTCAAATCTCTCTCTCTCTCTATCCTGGTCTATTCAAATCTCTCTCTCTCTCTATCTTGGTCTCTTCAAATATATATCTCTCTCTTTCTCTCTATCCTTGTCTGTTCAAATCTCTCTCTCTATATCTTGGTCGGTTCAAATCTCTCTCTCTATCTTGGTCTGTTCAAATTTCTCTCTCTCTCTCTCTATCGTGGTCTGTTCAAATCTCTCTCTCTCTCTATCCTGGTCTGTTCAGATCTCTCTCTCTCTCTATCCTGGTCTGTTCAAATCTCTCTCTCTCTATCCTGGTCTGTTCAAATCTCTCTCTCTCTCTCTCTCTGTCGTGGTCTGTTCAAATCTCTCTCTCTCTCTCTATCCTATCCTGGTGTGTTCAAATCTCTCTCTCTCGCTATCCTGGTCTGTTCAAATCTCTCTCTCTCTCTCCTGGTCTGTTCAAATGTCTCTCTCTATCCTGGTCTGTTCAAATCTCTCTCTCTCTCTCTCTCTCTATCTCTCTCTCTATCTCTCTATTTATCTCTCTCTATCCTGGTCTGTTCAAATCTCTCTCTCTCTCTCTATCCAGGTCTGTTCAAATCTCTCTCTCTCCTCTATCCTGGTCTGTTCAGATCTCTCTCTCTCTCTATCCTGGTCTGTTCAAATCTCTCTCTCACTCTTTCTCTCTCTATATATATATATCTGTCGGTCTGTTCAAATCTATCTATCCACCCTATGCATATGTGTGTGTATGTGTCAGTCAAATAGAGGCCAATAAAGGACAGAAATCAAAAGGAAAACTCTAAGCTTTCAGAAAACTCTTACACTGAAAAATATAAAAAAAACCAACTCTTAAATCTTTTCAAATCTGACGGGAAGCGTCTAGTTTACTTTGAAATGCTGATAAATTGAATGATCTAAAAATAAAATATTTGACGTTGTTTTCATTTCAAGTACAAAAACAGATACACCAAACAATTTTGTAAGATGGTTCAATATTCGAAGACAACAGACACAGTAGGGAGACGACAGTAAGGCAAAAATTAAAAACATTTTCCAGTCATTCCAGTCAGCCAACATATTAGCCCGTATTTGTGTAAATAGTACGCGTTTTAACCATTAAATGCCGCTTTCATTTTTTCGTGCCTTAACCACTGCGCTGCAAGATGACAGAATTCGTTTTTTCCTTGACGGTGGCGGTATTACTGTGAGGAGATGTTCAATGATAACCCTTAATTTGAATATATATTAGGTTGGTGCAAAAATAATGATGTAATAATGTCGTTTTTTGACCTTAAAAAATACATCAACAAACGACATTATTACGTCATTATTTTTGCACCAACCTAATATTTTGCCTTTTTTATATTTAGTATTCTTTTTCTCATTATTATTATTATTATTATTTTTTTCTTAATCTTTTTCTCTTCCCCCTCTTTTGTTCACTTTCCTTCTTTTCTTCTCTTTCTTTCCCCCTTTTGTTCTCTTTCTTTCCTCCTTTTATTTTTCTTCTCTTTTTTTCTTTTCTTTTTTCTTTTTCTCTTTTTTCTTCTCTTTTTTATTTTTCTTCTCTTTTTTATTTTTTCTCCTTCTCTTTCTTTTTCTTCTTCTCTTTTTATTTTTCTTCTTCTTATTAGTCTTAATCTTTTTATTTTTATTCTCGTTCTTATTGGTCGTATTCTTATTCATTTTTATTTCTCTTGGGTCTATTGAGGACATTGGCGACTATGGATGTCCACAATTTCTTCTCCTTTGTAGCTCTTCATAATTTGTCAGTTTTTTATCCCTTCTAATCCCTGTTCCACCAGCCATTTACTCATATTCACTAGGTAAGTTATGTGCTGCTTTCTTTTTGTCAGGTTTTGCCTTCAGTCTGATCTGGGAATACCACATTTTCTAAGCCTTCTTTTCTCATTACGTGCTACAGAAATTGCAACTGTCTCCTTCTGATTATTTATATCAGTGTCTTTTTTGTTTCCATTTTCTCTAAAACGTTGTTTTTATTCCATTCTCAGCATCCTTCTGTAGAACAACATTTTTTTGCCTCAAGTTTCTTCATCTGTGAGGAGATCATCTAGAATTCACTGCCATATAAGAGGACTGATAAACTATTTATATTATTCAGACACTTTCCTCATCTTTGTCACCATATTTATTATATATATATATATATATATATATCAACAGTGTGACACCATAAACAGTTTGAAAAAGTCCCGTGAATTTAAAATTTGCGGATGAAAATGATCATTCACTAATGGTATCTTCCAATTGTATGAAATATTTTGCTCTGTTTAATGAAAATAAACATTGAGCGCCCTTTGTGAGTCAGTTTTAACATTTAATATTTAAAATTTTATATTGTGCTAATAGGACTTGCCTGGATATATACCAACGGACGGATATATATATATATATATATATATATATATAAGCGTTATCTTTATACATACAAATGTTTAATACAACGTTTCGGCCGTTGTACGCTCAGGCATCCTTCAAGTGGTTGGAATGTCGAACTGAACCCTTTATTTCGCTCACTGGGGTAGACTGTTTTAAGTCTACCTGCCATGATGTCAGTTATCAGTCATCTCCTGTTAATTCCCCTCTCCAAGTTCTCCACGGCCTTAACTGGGTATTGAACTCACACTCTTTAGGCCCTGTCATTGGATCTAACGAACACCTTTATCAACAGTGGATAAAGGCGAATTAAATGGTTAAATTGCATTAGCTAAGTTGTTTTTTGTGAGGTCATACAATAGTCATACATAGAAATAAATACAACCATAATTTTGATTTTAAAATATTACACTCATAAAAAAAGAAAATAACTCACTCAGAAGGAAAATACTGGAGAGTGCCGCCATAGAAAATTATTAAATATTAATTTACGCCCAGGCTTTTTCCCTATTTCACCTTTCTTAATAAAAAATTAATGTTTTACAAAACAAATATGCACAACAGATTCATAAAATCGAAAGAAAATGGTTGAATACATCAACACAGATATAATGACAATATTCTCCACACGTGACAATCTCTGACGTTATTTTTCATTTAAAAAATATGAAAATAGCGTTTCTCTACATTTCAGTTGCTAGGTACATTCTGTTTTTGTTTTTATTAGTTACGTTGTTCATTTAATTTCATTTTCGTATTTTGCTTTGATAAAGTCCACATTGGACGAAACGCGTCAGCAATTACCAGTTTTCCTATTGTCATTTTTATTCATAAATATTTGTATCTATAAAAATGACATATAAGCAATAAATATATTAAAATAATTGTTGGACTTAGTTCATTTCATAAAATATGACGTAATATATCTATTCTCTCTCTCTCTCTCTATATATATATATATATATATATATATATATATATATATATATATATATATATAGAATGAGAAGGATGTATACTTAATTAATATGTATATATAGAAAAGTTTCAAATTAAAAATTATAATGTTTTATTTTATGAAAGTATTTATTTATTTATATATATATTTGATATTTCAAATTGTCCAAAATTTTTCATCAGAAATAACTGTTTAAAATAAATTAAAATTACTGTTTGTTGGCAAGAAAAATAATTTTCGCGAGACGCGGACGTCACGTGATATGGAACGTCACTGTTCAGATATTCTAAATTAAAATCTAACTGTCATAAATATTTTAAAAAATATTTTTTACTATATCTAAAGAAATTGCTTAGCTATTGAAATATTTATAAAGATTTAAAACACCTAGGTCCCTATTCAACCCTAATTTATGTGTATTTAATTTAAAATCAATATGTTTCTTTTTTCTGCGTGTGAATGTGGAAGTAAAATCGGAATCTATTAATAAACATTTTTTTTTCTAATGTGTGTCCTGATTGATTGTAGTGTTTAGCTATGGGGGAATAAGGGTTGTTTTGACGTATTGTTTGTTTATGGTTATTAAAACGAAATCTAAAATTGTTTCCAGACTCACCAATATATCCACTATTAGGACATAAGTTGCAGAATAATACCCAACACCAATATCAGGATACAGCCACCTAACCTCACCTGCGATACCCATAACGTAATCTATTATTTATTCTGCAACTTATGTCCTAATAGTGGATATATTGGTGAGTCTGGAAACAATTTTAGATTTTTGTTTTAATAACCATAAAAACAAACAATACGTCAAAACAACCCTTTATTCCCCCATAGCTAAACACTACAATCAATCAAGACACACATTAGAAAACTGCAAATGTTTATTAATAGATTCCGATTTTACTTCCACATTCACAAAAAAAAAGAAACATATTGGATTTTAAAATTAAATACACATAAATTAAGGTTGAATAGGGACTTAGGTGTTTTAAATCTTTATAAATATTTCAATAGCTAAGCAATTTCTTTAGATATAGTAAAAAAATTTTTTTAAAATATTTATGACAGTTAGATTTAAGTTAGGAATATCTGAACAGTGACGTTCCATATCACGTGACGTCCGCGTCTCGCGAAGGACGCTACTTGCCAACAAACAGTAATTTTAATTTATTTGTAATAAAACAGTTATTTCTGATGAAAAATTGAGGACAATTTGAAATATCAAATATATATATAAATAAATAAATACTTTCATAAAATAAAACATTATAATTTTTAATTTGAAACTTTTTCTATATATATATATATATATATATATTTTACTTGTCATATGCAAAAGAAAGCAAAAACCTGTTTATGAAAGCTTTGGTTGAAGTGATGACGTCATTACCATTTCTCACTGTTGTGGCTGCCACAGACTCCACGTATATCGATTCATTCTGCTCTTCCTGAATTGAACAAAACAAACACGAAGAATAAACAATAATATTTCTCCCCAACTCTTCTAATTATTATTATTATTATTGTTTTCATCATTATTATTATTATTTTCTTTGATTTCTGTTGTATATGCACTTCCTTCCCTATTCCAAGCAGATACCTAAGGTCAGAAATAGCTTCATGTCTTTTTCCACGGATCTTTTCTTTAAAATCAATTTAAGATCACACACCGAAATTATTGATGTCCTCACGTTCCACATTTCTGGAGATTTCTACTTCATGATCCTTGTATTTTGATAGATTTTTGAAAATCTTCAAAAATGTATTACTCTATGCAGAGACTGCTATGTCAATAAGAAAGCACTTTCTATTCTTGTGGTCTTTTTCTGTGCGATTAGCTTTTATTGTTCTGCTTTTGTGTATTGTAAAGTCCCATGAAATTGTTATAGATCCTACCTGGCTTACTTGGTCTATTCATACCAGTTGTTTGAAGTTTTCTTCCCGTAAAAAAGTTGCATATTTTCCAGCGCAGATATTGGCCCACCCTATCATGGCAAGTTTATATTCGCTAGGTTCTAACCATTGCAATTGGATACAAGAGATGGTCAATTGTATTATTATTATTATTATTATTATTATTACTATTATTATTTTCCTTTGATTTCTGTGTACACATTATATCCGGCCCCGCCCATAGCTAGTTTAGAAATGGCATCATGACAATTTCCACTGACAAAAAAAAAACAAACTTATTTTACATAGATAAAGCCCTTCGTAAGTTGTGGGCTGTACTCGTGAGAACAATATTTTTGTATTTCTTTAAGGGATGGGCTACCAGGAATCCCTTCAATGAGTCTACTGGAATCTTTTCGAACAAATCCAAGGGCTCCAACCACAACAGGAATTGCTGATGTACCCATGTGCCACATTTTTGAGATTTCGATTTCAAGGTCCTTGTATTTAGATAGCTTTTCGAAGATCTTCAAAGATACATTGCAGTCAGGGACTTGGTCAATAAGGAGGCAAATTTTGTTCGCGGTCTCTAATAACAATGCCTGTGTGGTTAGCTTTGATTGTTTTATTATTATTATTACCATTATTTTTTTTTTTTTGATTTCTGGCGTTTTATTTCTTTCCGGGTCCCGCCCAGGACCTAAGGCGGAAATCATTGTCATGATTCCATCAACAAGAAAATAAAATACATAGATAAAGCCCTTCTTAAGTGTGTGGGCTGTACTTGTCAGAAGAATTTTTGTATCTCCTTGAGGCATGGACTTCCAGGAATCCTTCAATTAGTCTACTGCAATCTTTTTCCAACCAGTCATAGGGCTCCAACTACAACAGGATTGTTGATGTTCCTATATGCCACATTTTCAGATTTATATTTCAAGGTCCTTGTACTTTGACTGACAACTTTTTGAATATCTTTAAAGATACATTGCAGTCAGCAGGGACTGCCATATCAATAAGGAGGCACCGTTTTGTTTGTGGTCTTTAATAACAATATTCATGGTTGGCCATGATTTTTCTGTCAGTGTGTATTGTGTAGTCGTATAGAATTGTAACAGGTCCTAAACTGGTCTGGGTGGTGTTCATACCAGTTTCTTTTAGTTTCCTTCCCGTAGAAGTTGCAGATTTTCCAGTGCAGATATTGGCCCACTCTGTCTGTCGGGTTTTTATATTCAGTGGGTGGTGCAACCTGATACAAGGTGATCAATCGATTATTATTATTATTACATCATCATTCGATTTTGCATGGACACACTACCCACACAAGTTGGGTGGAAAGACCTAAGGAAGGTCGGTGTGTGTTATGGCCACATTTCGGTG